GCTTTCCTTCCCTCTCCATTTTTTCCGTAGCAAGCTGCTAATAGCACGTAGCATTCATCAACAGCTCATTGGTGGAAGCGAGAGTGTTGTGCAACCCAAAAAACATCCGGCTGGAACACAGTGAGCTAATTTAGTAAAATTTAACAAGACATTTTAATACTTGAGGTACTCGAATAATTTGCCAAGTCGTTCCAGCCCTTCTTGTGATTTCAGATTTAGTCATCATAAAACTGTGAAATATGAGGAATTAAGATGAGGATCATAATCATCCTGCGATGGTCCAAAGCCCGCATGATGAAGTGTCCGTACTGGAGAGGAGTTTGGCTTGGTTCCACTGCAGGCATTGTAGGAAGCCCTTGTTCAAATGTGATAGTTGGACGTTGTTTACAGAGGAGGTGTCAAAACCCGTCAGCTGAGGAAGCTCTACAGAGTCAGGGCTGGTGTGTGTGCCTTTGGGCAGGCTTGTAAAAGTACATTTGTATGCTACATAAGGTGAACGAGCAAAACACAAAGAGGAAAAGTGGGATAAAGAGAAAAGAGACAAGGGCTGTTATTTCTCTGTGACCTTGGCTAAGGTTTCACTGAGCCTGCGGTGTCTTATGACCCTATTTGGATTTGGTACAAAAGCAGTGGCCTGTTCAAACCAGTTAAGCTCCTCATCTCCTCACAAACACAGAGGGTCTGCATTTAAAGTATTCTCTTTATTCATTTGGTTTGTTTATGTGCTTGAATTTGTGCTTTTTACTAATCAGGCTAAGAGCAGGTGGGTCAGGTGTTCAGGCACTTTACTGGACTCAACAGAGCTTTGATCATCACGCTTCCACTGCTAACCACAGCTGATCTTACCTCTTACATGCATTAAACTGCAGCCTTGTTCCGTTTGCTTCAGGTGCACATACAGTCTGAAGGTCAAAGGTTTACATCCAGTCATCTTCACCATGAATGTTGCATTAATTGCTTTAAACGGTTTGTTTGAACCGTTCTTTCTCCTGAGTGGAATAATAATGCAACATGAAGCTGCATTAACCTCTAAAAACAATAGTTTTAGTTGTGCTTGAAGGTGTAAATTTTTGAGCAGCTTAATTTCTTTATTGGTAATGATTTGGTCCACAGTGATTTAAAACTGACTTCCCAGAGGCGAATCATTCAGGTGTTTCTCAGCATCCCAACCAACATCCTTTCTGCTAAGGAAATTTTGTTTGATTCAGTTCAATTTGAAAATAATATTTATCCCAAAGGGAAATAAAATGTTGTTGTTACTCATGTCATCAAAGTATCTAAAATAGTTTTTGCAGACGGTGATGATGTGGGCAGGAAGCCACTGACTGAATGACAGGAAAAAAGACGATATTTCACAGTGAAATGTCCTGGACGACACCATTGGTTATCAGCAAACACTGCTAATCCATCTCATTTGCTTTTGCCACTCCACTTTAAATCTATCTGGTCGTCTGGTTAGATTGCCAGGCAGAGAGACGTAGGAGTTTGGGACATGATCGATGTAAGAACTTCCTCCTCTTTGAACGTCCTCCTTCTCTCTGTGCTCTGCATCCTCAAAACGTCCTTTTAGACTCCTCTGGGATTCTGGGGTCGTAGTTCAGGTATTATTTGAGCTTTTGAGATGCTAACTAGCTGCTCCCGGTTGTAAAAAAAAAAAAAAAAAAAGTAGAAAGAAACACTTTGTTGCCACAGTTACGCATCATAACAACTGTCGGAGTAAAAAAATAAGAGTAAAAATCCATCCAGCTCACAGCATCCAAAACCAAAGGGAAAAATGTCCAAAACAGCAATGGCTCTACCAAAAATAACACATTAAAGTCTACACAAAGAAGAAATCAGAGCTCCCACTATGAGCCGCACAGTTCTGGAGTTCAGCATAAAGCTTTGCCAAATAACATCACATCCAATTAACTTGTAGTTCAGATGGCTTTTCCATCTTGTGTAAATCTAAAATTCTCTTTATTAGATCTACACTGTGGTTTTTTGCGCTTTTATTGTTTTGAGTGATCAATCCAAATGAGTGCTGTCAAACAAATCCTTTTTATTCTGATAGATAGAAACCACCAGCGGCAGTCAATCCTAATCACATACTAAAAGTTAAAAGGCCCCGGCCCTGTCCCATTAAGACGCCCTGCAACTTTGATCACCGCTTATTGAAAGAAATCATTAAAAATCCAAAATTAATGGCCTTTATGCCCATTATGGAAACCAGTAAGCAATCCACTGGACCTGAAGGAATGTTGATAAATAAGAGCTGCAGCCTTGTTGAAGGGGTAATGCAGAAACAAAAATCCATTTGATACTAAATTATACAAATGCCCTATTTTTGGGCCACATGTGGAGAAACTGTGTGAAGGCCAGGCCATTTTCAAAGCAAGGTCCATTTGGGTCAGTGGGAGACAAACAAAAGGTCTGAATGTGGCCCTCAGTTTTAGCACGTTCTCATCATGTCAGCCATGAAATGTAGCGCAGGACTCCCAGCCTCCACGGAGGAGAACAATCTGTTTTTCTATCGGCTCTCAGCTCCATGTACGTTAGGCCTGGAGGTGTCTGTGTGTTAAAGAAACAGTGAAAAGGATAACACAGCGAGGGAAGAAGGCAACAGAGCACACATCTTCACAGTTACAGTGTTTTATCCTCTGAGACTTGCAATTCAAACACGTCCTTTCAGTTGTGTTATTTTGTAATTTTTTTCTTCAAGCAGTTTTAGTTCACCCGAGGTTCACGGGATACTTACAAGTACAGAAGAATATAATCCAATTTAACACTGTCTGTGACTGGATGTGTGTGTGTTGGGGTCGGTTCTTTCAACCCATTAGAGCTGAGAATAGTGCAGTCTGCTGTGCAAAAACACAACTGCCACGGGTTTGTAGGTTTCAATTTGAGCGTTTGTCTCGGTGCGTTGTGTTTACTTCCTGTCGCATCTTGGTGGACGGTTTCAGTTTTCAGCCAACATGTGAACATATGTGGGTCTCATATGAGAAGCTGAATATGTGTCAGACTCCAACCCTCGAGAGCAGGTGTCCCACAGTTTTCAGATGTGTCTCTGCTTCAACACCTGAATCAAATAATGAGGTCATTAGCAGGACTCCGGAGAACTTGGCTGCATGCCGATGAGGCAATCCAGTGTTTTGACCAGCAGGGGCTAATGCTGCATTCCAGTTACCTCGGAAATCGGAACGCTGGGTGTGACAACAGACTGAGCTAACAACATTCCAATTAAGAAGTCAGGATTTCAACTTGGCCTGTCATGATAACACATTTTGCTGGACAATAAATTACCCCAGAAGTTATTGCGATAAACAATAATATTGTTGTTTTGAGGTAATTTATAAGTGGGGATCACATTCTGAAAGATCAATAAGCTTTTAATTCTTATGAACATTTAACACATTTAAAATATTCATAATAGATTAACAAAACAAGAGACAGAACAAATCAAGTGAATGATGAAGTCTCTGTAAACAAAATATCTATTTTAAATGTAAAATAATCTGCCAGTAAATCTAACACTTTTTCATCAATATTAAGTAGTTGACTTAAAATAAGCTGATATATCTTACTGAAAAGTTGCTCTGTTCTTACTTCAAAAGTACTAAGATATTCACACTAGAAGCTAGACCAAGAAACTTGGTAAAATTTTGTGTTTTTGCAGTGAATTTGTCCTGTTTTAAAGCTGATTAAATGTAAGTAAATCTTTTTGCACTGAGCTAATAACCTTAGAGTGAAGGTTGCAGATGTTTGTTCACTAACTGAGCCTAAGTTCAAAAAGATTTACAGTTAGATTTACATCATTGTTTTCTGAGAACTTTCAATGAATGAATTTGTTCATAAACCTAAAGTGGATAACTAATTACCGCTGGAAATGGTGCATGTGATTATAGCGAGTTGCTAAAATGGCTTAAATCACCAACAGAGAGAAAATGCCCCCCAAATCAGTCTTGTGTGTGGGAGTTGAAGCCTAATTCACCAAGCACCTCTAATTACCCTTTACGCAGTTCCACATCCCGTCATTAAAGGAGCACACTGGTGGCTGCATATGTCTTGGCCCGTTTTCTGCAAATCGTGTTAAGCGATTGCTTGCCAGCCAATTCTAAGCTGTATCAAGCTTTCTGCATGTTGTTTAAAATTTGGATTTTCAACTGTGAATGTTTTCTTTTTTTGTATTTTGAAGACATCTTCAGGAGCTGAGGGTTGAAGCAGTGGGTCTCTCCAAACTCTAAATGTCTGAATTTGTGAAGTTTTTAACCTGTTCTATGAAGGGAAACAGATTAAAATAATACTCAAGTGTTTTTGAAGATTCAGTTGAAAAAAGAATATGTTTCCGTTTATTACAGAAATGAAAATTTACTGAGATGTTGGAGAAGCTCGGGTTCAGCTCGTCTGCATCGTTGGGTTTAGTTTCTCCTATCATCTTGTGCGCAGATGGGCTCTCGATGGGGTTTAGGTCAGGCCAGTTTGCTGGCAAATCAAACACAGTGATACTTTGGTCATTAAAGCAGGTACTGGTACTTCTGGCAGCCGGTCCCAAGTCCTGCTGGAGAATGACGTCTGAATGCCCATTAACCTCAACAGCAGAGGGAGGAATGATGTGCTCCAGAGTTACCTTTAGACCTGAGACTTGAGAAAACACAGTGGATGACTGGCTCCCCATGTCATCACTGACTGCAAACTTCACACTGAACCTCAGTCAACTTGGATTCTTTTTTACACGCTGAGATCAGCTTCCAGTGAATATATTATTGGCTGTGCCCTGCCCTTTTTTGACAATATTTGTTTTACCAGAGGTGACAGGTAAAAATATCAAATGTCTGTTTTTTTTTTGACCAAACATTTTTTTTAAAAATATAATTATTTTAGCTATTTGATAAAAAAGAAATTCTGACACGTCAAACAACAACATACAGATGAAAACTTTATTATTAGAATGCTACAGTATGAAAGTGTTTTGTTTTTTTTTTGGTCTTTTTTGCTAAGTCCAAATTATATTTCTATTCCAGTTCCCAAAGAGGGTCTGAAGAACCAGGCTGCATTCGAGGAGATGAGGGTTAATTACATCAAGGAGCTGCGACGTTCAGTGGGAAAGGCGACCAACAACTCCGGCCAAACCTGGCAGCGCTTCTTCCAGCTCACCAAGCTGCTGGACGCCATGCATGATGTAAGTTCCCCTGACCTGGTCCACTCTGCACACGCTTCCCTGCAAAGCCCCTCTTTTCTGAACTGCTGCCACTTTGGGCTTCTGCTCTTAGAGGAAAAGTTGAGTAAAATGGCAACATAGTGGATTCTGGTTAATGCTTTAGTTAGCGGTTCAATAGCATTGTGTGGTTTGCAGTGAGGATAATTGCATCCCTGAGGGGAGAGTGGGGAGTTATTTTGGAAGAGGCAGTGCCACGCTGTATTGGTGAACGGAACAGAGGAGGATCGATACCGGCTTTCGGTTTGTTGGATCAGGACGCTGAGGTGTCACTGTGTCTATGCACGGGGTCGGCTGGTGCAAAAGCAAAGCCTGGAGGTGAAGATCAGCAAGCGGGAAGTCATAAAGATAACTGACCAGAATTAATTCAGCCTTATGATTAAGTAATTGGGGTTTGTGCTGACAGAATGACCTTTCTCTCAGGGAGAGCTGGGTAGAGAGAGAGAAAAAAAAAACATGCTGCCCCCAAGTGGTCAGCACAATAGAGCAATAAAGGAAATTTAACCTGAACGGAGAGAAATGTAATAAAATGTTCCTGTTTTCAGATGAAGACAAGAAGCTGTCCTGCAACAGTGTTCAGACCATTTAAATTTTCCCCCATTTTGTCAACTTACTGGGATTTTATGTGACGGACAAAAACAAGATAGTGCATAAACGAGGAATCAAGAAACAATCCATAAACTATAATTTCCTTTCTTTTAACAAAAGAAAACATCTGACTTTTTTCTTTAGCCAAACTGAGTCAACATTTAGGAAAACCAGATTTTGCTGTAACTACAGCTGGAAGTCCCATCCCTACCTGCCTTGCTCATCTAATTCAGAATCATTGTCCTGCTGAAAGGTCAAAACCATGCCCATGGCATGATACTGCCACCTCCATGTTTCACTGTAAGGACTGTACACTGTAAAATCATAGAATCTCACCAAGTATTTTTGGGATAGTCTCTACTTATATATCTTATTGCGCATAAAATAACTAACTTGCAAGTAACTTTTCAGCAAGATATAGGAGCTTGTTTTAAGTCAGTAACTTCTTAAAATTGTTGAAAAAGTATCAGTTCCATTGGTAGATTATTTCACTTTTAACATGAGACAATTTGCTTAAGTGAGATAATTCACCAAGTGGGACTAGAACTTTTTTTTATTAATATTAAAAAATATTGACTTGAGGCAATCTCCTACTTATTGCTAAAGTAACTTGTAAGTTAACTTTGTCTTATTTCAAGTGTACTAAGATATTTGCAGTGGAAACTTGACAAAAATATGTGGAAAGATTTTGTGTTTTTGCAGTGTATATGATGTGTAGTCTGAGTTTCTGTCTCTCGGTTTCTGTGAGATGTTCAAAGTTTGGATATTGTTTTATAACCTAACTCTGCTTTAAACTTCTACACAACTTTCCTCCTGACCTGCCCGCTGTGTTACTTCCCCTCATGCTGCTGTTTGTTTACTAATGCTCTCTAGCGCAGAACAGCTGGATTCATGCTGAGGTGAAATTACACACAGACAGAGTTTTAAATCCTAAAGACAATCAGTTGTTCTGCATTTGATTTAGGGATGTTAGAGGACAGAGGGGTATCAGGACCAGATTAAGAGAATTGTCTGTACATTACAAGAGTGAAATCATAATATTATGAGAATAAACTCATACTATTAGCAAAATAAAGATAGGATTTTGTCAGAAGAAAAGCATAAAAGTATAAGAATAAAATAGTTTTAAGGTGAAAAATAGAATTATCACAATGTGACGTGACGTACTTGGCAAGTCCATCTTGTTATCTCTATCTCTTCGATGTATGCTCAACCATTTAAAAATCATGCTGGTAACAGTAATTTAATGCTTATATCTATTTCCTAACTGGTAAAACTGATTCCAAAGCAAAACTTTACAAACATTCATCATTTATATTTTTAATCATTTTTCATGTAGAAGATCTCAGAAAATTAAAACTTCACTCTCTTAATATTCAAACTGTGTTTTGGTGATATGACTGTATATTCCTATTATTGTGACTTTATTCTCGTGTTATTTTGACTTTGTTATCATAAGACTTTATTTTTGTAATATAACTTTATTCTCATAATCATAGCAATGCATGCCACACATTTTCATTTGTATAAGAGATTTGAAAAATGTACATAATTCTCTGCATTTGTGTTAAATTTATAACAAACTTTTTGGTTGTGAAATGTAAAAAAAAAGTCTAAGCAGTAATAAGATCTTTGCAAGGCCAGTTTATGAAAGTGGGATCTGTTGTCATTAAGTTGTGTGTTTGTGATGTGCAGCTCGTTGGGAACTTGCTGGACTTCTGCTTCTACACCTTTCGTGAGTCGCAGGCCCTGAAGGTGGAGTTCCCCGAAATGTTGGTTGAGATCATCAGTGACCAGATACCAAAGGTGGAGTCAGGCCTTACTCACACTATCTACTTCCACAAGAAGTGACTCGCTGCAAAGCCGGAACAGGAGTGGCATTAAGAACCGGGAAAAAAAGAGGAAAACGAGGTTCAGGGAAGGGAACATGTGCTAGAAAGGCCTGATGTGTCGGCCCCTCACCCTGCCGCCCCCTGAGCCGGCGTCCTCGCCTCGGATCGCTGTCGAGCGGAGTGGTGAGGAGAAGGATTTGACCCTGCAGTCACCATAAGCATCTTAGAGCTGTGAATAGTTTGAGACATCGAGCACGACATGACAAGATTGACTTTTGACAAACCTGACGAAAACATCCTGATGTACACCCATGCAACCCTGCCCCAAAGATGAAAACAGTATTCTGTGGAGATAAAGCCATAAATCACCTAGAATATATTCACACAGGAGTAGATGGAAAATTAACACACTTACATGCCTTCCCGTAAATGCCCTCCACCTGCACTATATTGAGATTCCCTTACAAATCCACTGATTTTTTTTTTTTTAATTGCAATTAAATCTAGCTTATGCAGTCTTAAAAAGAATAATCACACTTGGAAATATCCTGCTTAGACTAGTAAATTAGCTTTGCGTGTAGCAGCAAAGGACTTCATGTGGAGGCTGCAGGTCTCTGTGAAGGTAACCCAAGGGCTATACAGGTATCATCATAAGCTAAACGACGACATCAAATCTAACAAGTCCAAGTTCGGTTCACAAGTCTGCATCGTGACGGCCATTAATGACATCGACACACACACACAAGTTTAAATACGTGTAGTGAAACAATCAAGACTCTTATGCAAAAGTCCAAAGCTTGAGCTGTTTTGAAATGAATATATCTCTCAAGTGTGAAGAAAGCTTGCACATGAAACTCCCGTGACTATTTCAGAGACATTGTGTTATATATTGATGCAACACGTTACCTTTTCTGCAAAAAAATAAAAAAAAAGTTAAAAAAAATGTTGCAGGATGAAATAATGCATTTACAGAAACAATTTCAGTAAGAGTCGACTGATAATGGATTTGACTGAGGTGAATCTATAGTAATAGCTGTCATTTGTGTTATCTCCAGAGCAGCTGTCCAAATGTCTGTTTTTACCCGCAATGAAGCTAAACCAGCCCTTTGTGAACCAACACTTATCTACTCTTCCCAGAGACAATAAAAAGCATTTTATAGAAGGGTTCGTTTTTTTTGACAAGCCGGTCATTTTACATTAAGGTGCTTCATTTCTACAAAGCGAGGCAAGACGTAACATGTACAGTAACAAACAGACAGCCCAGACACTACAATATATATGGACTCAAAGTCTGAACACACATACTCTGTAAAGTTTATAGTATCCAACGTGGAGCATTACTCTGCTTACAGCTAACACATCAATACCGAGCGAGTTTGTACAGGTATTAACACCGTTCTCCTCAGTTGATGTACAGAAGATGTTTTAAGGTACGTGTTGATGAAGAACAGATTATTCTGCTGAAATGGTCAGTTTTCCCAATGTAGATTCCACTTTTTTTCCTCCTATATTTGGGCCAAGTTGTATTACTTTCACTACGGTCTTCTGGACCATTTAATAGTCTCACACCCCACTGGTTTCTGGACGGTTGTGAAAAACTACAATGATGCTACTGAAAAGCGACAGAGAAGATAACAAGTGTGTGGGGAGGCGTGATTCTTATCCAGTTATTGTGCCCTGTAAGTGTGTATTTACATGTGTGTATGAAGTTTGTGTGCAGTTTTTTTTTTTTTTTTATCTCTCTCTCGGAAAGCATGTGAATAGTTTATCTGCTCTTTCAGTGTGGGTTATTATGCACATGTCATAGATTTTAGCCACATCCTGTTTCCACATTTAGATTTGCACAGAGGAGGAACAATGTGAAATGAGGCATTAGCGCAGCTAGCAGGGATTGTTTGCTTCTTTAAGCGACTCTGATAACAGAGGGAGGAATTTCTGCATGGTCACCCAGCCTAAAGTCAGACAGCATAATATTAGCCACCTAGCCTGGTGCTGGTGTGCTACATTAGAGCACCAGCACCTCTCAAAGCCGGCCCAAGGCTTAAGCAAACTAAGCAGCCCCCAACATCAGTGACTTAATTCACTAACGGGACGCACCGTTAGTGAAAACTCAGCTGAGTTTTAACTTGACAGGACATAATCAGGAAACTAAAACAACAGATCATTTTTGGGTCAGCAAACATGCTGTGGAACCAAAATTAGTAAATTGTAGTAGTCTAAAGAAGCACAATGGGCCTTTTAAATGTTTGGAAATGATTTGGGTATCTCTCAAAAGACTAGAAACATTGTCAAATGAGTATACTTTAAAAAAAAAAATCTTTCTTTTTGATGCTCCATGTCTTTTGAGGTTGGAAGGCAGCTTTGCCATCACCCTAATCTCTAGCTCCCTCCTCTATCAGATTCATGTTTGGACTTTGGCTGGGCCACTTCAAAATGTTTCTTATGCTTCAGTTAGAAAAAATATAGGTATCATTGAAATGTTTCACTTTAAAGGTATGAATGTCAATAATGTTAGGCATAATTCTAATTTAAATGAGTAATTTAAACAGATAACAGAAAGACTGACTGTTGTAGCCAAGTTGCTCTGATTTATTATCCTTTGTAGCTTTCAGCCTCTATCATGGAACATGGTGTGTTTTGGAAATGTTGGCTTTTGAAAAAGTCCACATTTTATCGAATACACATGGAAGCTGTTGCTACAAAGCAAACTGATAATCGTACAGTTAGGAGGCTAAAATTAAATCTGTATCTTAAAAATCCGTTTTAGGGCAACTCCCCTCTCAACTACTGAGGTGGTTCCTTTGCTCTTAAGGTAAATAATGAATGAGTGCTGATTAAATTTATCCAAGAGAAATTAAAATCAGCTAAAATTGTATCTGGAGGGTCAGAGCTTCACAAAAATATGAAATTGGCCACAAAAATCTGATGGGTGCATCTCTACTTGAACTAAAAATGTTAATTCTAATTTATTTTGACATATGAATATGTTATATCAAAATAACAAACTTTGATACTTTTGAAGAGTATGACTGAAGTCACCATAGTTCAGTCATTTCTCCTGCTTGTGTCTGTGAGAATCCCCTTTCATCAACACTGTAGCTGTAAATAAATAAATAACGATGAACCTTCACTAAATGCAGGATTCTGGCTGCCTAACCAAATGAAGATGTCAGACAAATTAATTTGGGGCCCCAAATTAAATTCTGCTTCTGGCCCCATATAATCTTGGGTCGGGTCTGGAACCGTTCCACCAGACTTTTCGCTCTCTTCTGAGTTGAAGTTCATTTTCATGCAAACAGAAGCCAGAATTAATTTGTCTTTGGAGGTGTAGGAAATATAGTTTTAATGACGGGGATCAGAAAAGGGAGAGGGTTGTGTATTTTATTTCTTATTATTGTCAAATTGGGAGATCAGAGGTGGATGTGTCAAATTTTGTCATCCTGATGGATTTTTTTCTCCATAAATTATGAGAAAAAATATATTGGGTAAGAATGTGGGGCCAACTTCTCTTTCATTATACTCTACAGAAATATTATTTCAATGTTTTTTTTTCTCCACTGCAATAATTTTCAGCACCTGTCCAGAAAGGCTTCATTTAATTCTTTATTTCCCCCTTTTTGTTGTCCTTTTTAAAGAATAAAAAATGTCTAACAGTTCATAGAATGAATGGGAAAGTATTTTTGAGAGAATTATATTTTGCAGGAAAACAATATTTAAGTACTTTGTCTAAAAATGATATCCTTTTTGTAAAACAAAATCTTATTGCATGCTTTTTGATGAGATGTTTACATGTACTTAAAAAAAGGGAAACTTGTGCCTTTTTATCTCACCTGATTTACAGTTTTACAGTATATATTGTAAATAATAAGGCAAGTCTTTATGTTGAGTGTAGTATAAAACATTTCTACTTTAACCATCTTGTTAAACAGTTGAAAAAAATATGTTTCCCACTTGCCATGTTCTGTTTGTTGGCTCGCAGAGTAAGGGTTGGCACAGTGAAATGAATGTATCATATATTGTGAGAGACTTATGGAGCATACTACCTGAATGTTAGAGAGAGTACATTTATTATCTACTCACTGAGGACATTTTTTATTTTGCTTTTTTTTATTTTCTTCATTATTGTTTCCTTAAACAAATAAAAAAAATCAAAAGCACTTTTTTAAAACTTTTGTAACAAGCTGTATTAAGAAAGGGATCCTCTTTCCTGTTGAGGGGATATCGTAACCATGGTGACAAAGTTGACAAGCACTATAATAATAAAAACCAAGGAGTCACATACTGTTGGAACTGGGACATGTTAAAGGAAGGTAGATCCAGGATGTTGAATCTTCTGCAACCTCTCCAAGTGAGACTGGATGTCTCATTATGAGCTCTGAGTAAAAAACAACTATTATATGAATGTTTCCAGTTATAAAATAAATTTTATGTTTGGTACCATTGTGTTCACAAAACTATATTCACACTGTAAATTAGGCTACTTGAAACCGTGAAAGGGAAAACTGATTTTTTTTTTTAATGTGGTGTTCTGTGGAGTTATAGTTAGTATCTACCTGCAGCAGAAAGTAATCTGAATAATCTTTGATGGGAGAAACCTAAGCTAATTTCTTAAGTAAAGACAATCTGAAAGTGGATTGAAAAACATTTTTTAAGGAACATATAGATTTCAAATGACCATGTAATGTTTTCAAGAAACAACTTTTCACTGACTGAGTGATGGATGCTTCACAAAATGAGATTTGAACATAACCAGTTCTTTTAAAGACAGGCAGGTAGTGTCTAACTTTAAAAAACACTTAAAGAAGATGTCATCCAATTTGAACCAAATATTGTTCATGTTTATATGAATACAGTAAAATTAATTTTGCCATAATTTCATTGAAATTTAAAAATACAATGCAAAGCAAAATTATAAAACAACCATTAAAATGTCAAATACAATAATGTGAAGCGATTCATTTTTATATCTGGCTTTTATTAAGCCACATTTATTTGAAGCTGCAAAGCATGGCAAACATAACTTCAAACTATTTCACTCTGCTGGGTAAAACACAGAATCTCAAGTTCCTGTGTGACATAATTCCCAGATATTCTTGCATTGCTTTGGTGTAGAGTACTTTAGAAATCATTTCATTTATATGTTTTGCATCAAACATGGATGCTGAGATGTCAAACTATGTAATTGAATAACAGGTAAAAAGTTTTGATTGCTCCTGACTGTTTTCTAAATTTGTTTACCCCAAACTGTGAAAACTAGACAGTTGTGGTTCAATACAAATACTTGAACATCTCAGAGTAAACAACCATTTTAAAGCACAAAGACTGGAGCAGAAATTCAGTCTGGACTAGCCATTAGCAGGACTCTTTCATGGGAACTTCTGTTTCCCCAAACTGAGATCATTCTGAAAGCTTTCAGCAGGTAACATACTGACTAATGACAAATCCACAAAATCCACACTTCAGATTTTTCCCAAACTATTTCTTTAAATTTTTTACTGCCAAACTATGAGCTACAAGCAGTAGGGGGATTAAAGTGTGACAGCAAAGAATTGAACCGGGAACATGGGAAGTGTTAGAAATAAGTGAGCATATAAATCTGTCTGTGCTCAAGTTGCATTGTTAGTAATTCAATATTTCCAACTGTCACTTTAACAAAGTGAGAGAAAAGAAAATCTTCTGCAAGTAAGTGCAATTCTCTGTCAGCAGACGGACCTGTGAGCTGTATTGACACTCTCATCCAACTTCCAGCAAAAAGTAAACAAGAATATTCACAACTGTCAAACTAGTTCCAAGAGAGGGAAGCTGATTAATGTACAGTTTATTTTTTGGTCATCAGTCATTACCTACTGCCAGCTATAAAACTTTCCCAAAACTCCAGGGAGCTGCATTGTCTTCTGAACAGTCCTCTTCTAAATTCACTCCTTTTTTGGCTTGTTTGTCTCACGATTAGTCTAACTGCTGTTCCTGACACTATTGCGTCATTGTGTGTATGGAGTCATGTCATTGCCATTTTTCAGAGTTGTGAATCGGGTGTAGACAGTCTAAGCCATATCTCCACGGCCATGGCAGTGCATTATTTATTAATAAATATATAAATATATATATAAAAATATACAGAAATGCTTTTTTCCAGATCCAAAAATACCTTTTTACTCAGTACAAGTTTTCTTAGCAAACATACAGTGAACCTCCTTCACCAAACCTCCTTCAGCATTTTTTGAAACCAGATACTACTGTATATCTTAATGCAGATATTGCCATACTTGTGTTTGCAGAAATATTGCAAGATTCTAATAAAACCATTACACTGACTGATTGATGTGATCTGATTATTTGTGTTGTGTAGTTTATTTTAGAAAACAGAAATCTACAGCCTACCCAACGGTCATATTCAATAAATAAGAAAACATTTGAAAAGTTCACTTATTTCAGTAATCTAATTAACTCAGCAAAGCACATTACATGATTTAATTAATTCAATGTAAAGCCTTTATTTCTGTTAATTGTGATTTTCTGCTTACAGCTCATGAAAACATGACATTTGGGATTAGAGTATTACATCAGACCAATAAAAAACAACAAAAAATACTGAAGTTTGGGCTTAATAAAAAGTATTTTTAATTTCTTTAAAGGTTATTTTCAAAACATCTAACAAATGAGCCTCATACAAACATATTTATTGAATATGACTGATAAGCTTTCACTGACCACAAATCTTAGGTTGTTGTTCAAGTCAAAGTAAATCCTTAACTATGCAGGTGAAAAAGCATGAAGATGATTTTAACTTGTTGGTTGTTTTCTCAAAAGGTTTTTGCTCATTGTCTGTCAATGTATGTTCTTATAAAAATATGATTTTCCTTATTCAAACTCTGATGTCACATGTAGATATCTAAGAAAACAAATACATTTTTATGCGTTTTGGCCTTTCAAACGATTATAGAAACCCTGACAAAAGTGGAAATTTGAGAAAATATGGGTAAACTAGGATTTAGGGTCCCATGCATTAAAGTCTGAGACAAACAATGCGCTAATATATCCCCATACTTGCTTTGACATGACTCTCAATCGACAGAAGTGTTGTGTTTTACTAACTTCATATGCTAATATGGTATTTACACGTAGTTCAAGCTATGTGTCTGTACACACAAACGAACCTCCTAGCGCCATGTTTAATTCCTAACAAGAAGTCGTAGTTGTTTTGAAGCAATCTAATGGGGTATATGCCACGAGAGGTGGTGACGTATTTCCGTTTGAATTTATGCCACATACTGTAGATTGGTTCCGGGTCCTGCTTGCTCCTATTATTTTTAGCCAACGCTGCAAGATCTGTACCATGAAAAAGACGCAAAACTTAAAATATCTGTGAGCTACTGGTACAACAATCTTCCTCTCCACCAGAGTGACGAGTTTTCAACACCAGTAAAGGCAAACAAGTCTGATGTTTAATTAGCTGCTAGGAAGTATATTATATATTCACTGTTAATTTTGCAATCCTGTTTGTACCTACAATAAAATTGAATTTCATTTGTAATACTCTACATTTCACAAACCTTTTTGTCCCCATTTCTCAGTGTTTATGTTATATCAAGTATTTGCATGTAGATCAGGAATTCAAGTGAGATGGTAAAATGCAACACATTTAGGTAATACCAGCAAAGAAATGTGAATATTAAGTAATATGTAGTTAGTCATATAATTTAATATACTGAATAAGGCTGGATGATATGACTTACAAGATTTTTTTTCATATCAGATTTGATTTTAATCAATTCCTCCCATCCTCAATTTCTATAATAAAATCACAGAAAGTATTTTCAAAAAGTGCCTTTATTTCAATCATCTGTTCTGTGAGTTGTATAAGGGAGCATTAATAAATTGCAAGAATGCAGTCATCGTTACAGCAAAATAAAGATGCAATTTTATAACAATGTCTTAAAATTACAAGAAATCGTTTTAATGAGAAATAAAGATTCAGATTGATCTGACGTAACCAGCTCAGTCCATGTGGTTCTGACATTTGTCAGTAATCAAGAGGATGTACATTTCCACCTCACCTTTTTATTAAGGTAAAAATAAAAATAAAAAATAGAGCAAATAATGTATACAAAACGGAAAAAGACTAACTGATAGAAATACTTTCTATATAAAGAAAAGCAAAAAAGTTGATAGCAACAAGTTGTTGGCAACATTAGCTCAGCCAATCTCTCCCTCCAGGAAGCCATCAAACAACTCCTGTCCAACTCCAACTATAATAAAGATAAAAAAAAAAAGAAAGAAAACGGAAAGTTAAAATGATAAATAATGCCAATTTAATAATTCAGATCTAATGCGTTCTGGAATCTATTATTGACATTTTACAAATTTCACAAATCAATTAGAAGGTTTCACAAATATTTTATTTATTCTGCTGTTAGTACAGAATAATCTAGTTAGGTTTGAAATGTCTAGGTGTAGTTTTTACAGTACAACACATTAAAAAGCTCAAGATAGTGAAAAATTAAGAGTAATTGCCCTTTAGCTATTTTCTGAATTAGATGCTACATTCGGAAGCTAACTTCAGCTTCGACTGATAGCTTGGGCACAATATAGTCAGATCTATATATGTCTATATAGATAGATATCTATATCTATCTATAAAGCAAAGATATGTAGATTGCACACTGCACAGACAGTCAAAACACTTAATGTTTACATAGCAACTTTGTAAGCTTGTCCCTGTTAGCTACGTCAGACATATGAGGCATTATGGTGAATACAAACGATTTATTAACTTATCTTCAAAGTTATTGTGAAGTTTGACACATCCAGCTAAAATCCTTTGTTGTTGTTGGAGCATTTCAGGACGTCCGAATAATTGTATAGGCATCATTAATAGTCCTGCAGCGACTGAGGAGCCACTATTAACATACTGTTGCCTGTGCACCGGAACCATTCTTTGTGGCAAAAAAATGCGGAAGTGCTAAAACGGAAGTCCGTGGCATATACCCCGTTGACTAGAATCGGTTTTAGCTTTGGGCTATACTGCCCCCTAAAGGTTTGGCATGTTTAAATCAACACTCAGTGATGAGGATGATATCTTTTCTGAAACCGGTATCGTGCATGTTTTTTTACATGATGTGCTGGAGATTTTTGTTTTTAGAAAGACTCGGCTCTGTGTGTGCAAGGCCTGAATGTGAATGTAGTCTTAACTCAGCCACGTTTCTCCCTTTAAGGATTAGTTAGCTCTATTGTTG